CCAGGAATAGGCTTCAGAGGGACAATGGAAAAACAACACATTTGTGGTCCAGACCAGCTTGCTTCACCCACATACCAGCTCTTCTATTACTTCTGTTCCAATCAATAGCGCTTTTAATAGCTAAATGACAAGGGGACTGAGTTTACAACACACAAGGCTGAATACATAGAAGAATGACCCTGCAGAAGCAGAGCTCATTAATACATACATAACATAGATATCATTAAATATATATATATGCGCAATCTCACAAATTTTTCTCCACTATTAAGCATATACTGCCAAATGGTAGCGAGGCAAATCTGCAGGAGCCTCAGGATATAAAGAGAGTATGTTGCTTGGTAAGTAGAAGCAGGCAGCCAGAAGAGCACTTACTAAATGGATATCTGAAAACTGTTTTTCCATCAACTTTTTTTTTTTTTTTTTTTTAAACACTTAAGTTATCCACTTTACTGGAAGCATCATGCCTACAGTCCTCAGGAACAGAGTTGGAACACAAAAATATATAGCATTTCCATACCCTAAGCTGCTTGATGATGGCTTGCCTTTCTCCCCTGTTAACCCATTTACTGTCAGCTAATGGTACAAATCTTAGGACAGAGATTTTACCCGTAGACTCCCTCAAGTCGGTCACTGGAAATCTGCTTTTTCCATAATCCTTCATTATGGAATCTGTGATTATCAGTGGACAGCAGTCAGATACAAAACTGCAGTGCTAAACTAAACATGGAATGAGTCTCTTCCAAGTCTACCCTCTCACTCCTTCCACCATACCAAATTAAAAATCATGTATCTTTGGCCTTCAGGAAATAAACAAGAGCAGCAAATATCAAAACATTAATGCGAAAATAAGATATTTTTTTCTATTATTACCACTCCAGCATTAAGCAACAAACATGGAAAAAAAATGAAAAAATTATCATGAAAAAAAGTTTAACTCAATATAACCTAGTGTACTTTTTTTGAAGACGGCCAACACAATTCCCTATGTTCAACCTAAATTCCATTTGAAGGCCTTTTTGTTTTTGTTTTCCTCCTCCTCTCAAAATCTAAGTAGGAATGATGAAATCTTTTGTGTAAATTATCTGTGTATTTTTTTTCTCCGAATTTTATCACTAATGGTTCTGTTATATATACAGAACAAAAGAAATAAAAATGTTAACATTCCTATTTAAAATTAAATCTAGAGCAAGTCAAATGGAACTCGGTGAACATTATTAAAATATCCCAGAAGTTTCCATTTGAAATTAAATAATTTTGATTCAGTCATATTTGTACTTCTTTCAAAATACTCTTCTGGAAACTTTGCATCCTTCAAGCACGGGTGCTCCTGGGAATCATTTTGAAATGTTGCAGAAAATTAAATTTTCAATTTGCACATGCAAACATTAATGTTGGAATTACTTGCACAGCTATCCAAATACAGAAGAGCTATGTGACATATCCAGACTACACAAGAACACTACTCAATCTTCGAATATTGATTAAGCACAATTAATCCATGAATGGTGCAAAATACTGTGGGGAGAGTTTGCCCAAAAATCTAAAATAAAAACTTAAGGAAGTTACTCACTACTGACAGATACTGCAGATGAAGATAGCTCAAGTTGATTAAGAATTCTATATACAGCAAATTATTCATGTTAGTCTACAGATCAATATGAATGTTTTATAAAAACAGAACTGTCCCATTTTGAGTTCTGTGTGATCTCCTCATCTTATAAGCAAAACAAGTGGTATTACTGTTTAGGACTGTTAAACATCTTGGACTTGCTTATAACAAGCAAAAATAAACACAAAAATCTTATTTGGGATATTTCTTAATGGAGCAGCCCATGAAAAACATTCCTTCCTTATTATGTGCTTTTCTTCCTACTAGCATCAACTCAACTTAAACTGACTTAACAAGGGCAACTTACAGTATCTCAGCACTTAAAGAGAGATACTCTGTACTCTGAGCATCCATGTGTCTGCATTGACTCCAGCTCTACTGAAATCCACATCCATGTTTCCATTTCTTCTTATTTGGACTGCTCTGCTACATGTATTATCTGTTACTCACACAATGTCTCTTCTACTGAATTAATGCAGTAGGCATTAATTTCAAACATATTTCCATTAAAATTTCTTCTGAAAGCTAGATTTCCTTCCCATCTAACATTTGTTCTATATTCCTTGCCTTTAACTTGGATTAGGATATCAACACTTACAAGCAACAGCAACTATTAACTGACTCTGAATCAGACAAAGTTAAAGATTCCTCAAAATATAGCATATAAAATAAACATACGACATACTGAAAAATACTGCAGTGTTGGGAGAATCCAAATATTGACTGGTTACACCACTGTAATTTACAAAAGCAACTGTAAGCACTCACTCAAAACACCATTTGCTATTCTTATGGAACCACAGGTTTTCCAAAGATCAGAAGAAATTCTTTTCTAGAAGTAAACTTGATTAAGAAACATTTTAAATTTCTTCAGAATCTCTCATCTTTCTACTCTAATCTTTCCCAGTACAGTAGTACTAAAAGCCATTAATGCAGTGACACAAAGAGGGGGAAAAAACAAAAAAAAAACCTTAAACAGTGCAAGAGGGATATCTGTGAAATCACCACTTCTGCAGTTTCTGTGGATGTATTTCAATGACTCTTAGAGGAAAAAAGAAAAAAATAAAGGTCTGTTTCAACGGGTTTGGGATAACATGTTATTAACATTGAGATAAAAGACCGAAGATACACCTGTGCGGAGTTCAAGAATGAAGCCCAAAAATTGTTTCCCCTATAACTGAGAAACAGAAGTTTGCTGATAATAGAAAAATCCATATAAAAGGGGAATCCGAGTTGGTCGTTCTTATTTTTAAATATTTGCATCAAGATATCATGAGACACTGGCAAATAACACTTTTGTACAATCAGATAAGTTAACAAAAACAAGTTTTGAGAAACGTAATAACCTTTTTTTGACAAGTCAATCCAATTCACTACAGCACAGGAGGCAATATTTAGTTAAAAAAAGTTTAAGACATTTCTTGCAAACAAAACTGCTTGTAACATTGTATTTCTGTAATAATTAACCACTTGCAGACCTCAAAGACTATCAAGACAAAGTGAACAGATTCACTCTTTTGAAAGGGACTTTCATAGGAAAAATATACTTGATATGTGATAAAAATATTTCTAAAGTATATGTCATTTGAAAAAATAAACTGAGGGAGTACTCTGATTTAAATTTCTAATAACATATCCTCACCTAGACAACTAGGTTGCATCAAGCTATACCCTTAGATTTTCTCTAGATCTACTTTTTTTTTTTTTTTTTTTTTTTTTTTTTTTGTAACGAGATCGACAAAAAATGTTGCATCTTCTTTAGCCTACTCACCTAAGGAAATGAACTTTGAGATCATACTTCTATCAACAGGTCAACATCTTTCAATTTCAGTGATGTTTGACAGAGACAAATAAAAAGAGGTAATAAATTTAGCTTCTGCCAGTGTAATAGAAACAGGTAGTTACGCTATGAAGACAATCCTGTTCAAGTTCCCATTGAATAAAAAGCTAGCATCTTCACTAAGACCTTAAATTTAATGATTTATCCTCTTACCCAATCCAGTAGCATACTCCTAAATGTCTTACTGGCTTCTGTAAAAACTTGTTACACACAGAAACAGCTCTAAGTTACATGGTGCAAAATGCAGAAAAGGGATCCTTATGCTTTTTCCCACTGCTAGAGTTGCCATGAAATTCTATTGGAATTCTTTGTATTGATGGCTGTAGAACAGGGCTTAAAGTGAAGTGGAAGAAACAAGAAAAAATGGTTAGCAATATTAAATTTTTCATTAAGTTTCTCTCAAAGTGTGGAGCTTAATTTCCAGACTGTTTTACTACTGTTTTTGGAAGTTTCAACTGGACGTTCACTTAGCAATCTGGCAAACAATGCTACTTAAATCTACATAAGCAATCTGCAAACAGTACACATGAAAACCCTCTGAAATGCTGAGATACTTCACAAGGAATACTCCAATTCCATATCTTTGCATATAGTAATACTCACTATAATCAATCTGAATTACTGTAAAATGCTTCAAGTGCAAAAGTGGCGTTAATGAAGCCAAAAGACAGATATGAACAAAATTATTCCCTCTTTCTCTAAGGAAAGGGTAAGAAATACATAAAATGCATACATCACACAAAATTGTGTGAAAAAGAAAACAGCAAGTGAAGAGCCTGTTTAAAGTATGTGTTTCATGTTCACATGATTTTTTTTTAAAAAGCATGTTGTTTCCACGTTATTGTAATATAACACACATTCCTTTGCTCATTACTGTTAATTACAATGAAGACCTCCTATAATTCACTGTAAAACAATGAAATTCAACAAAATTTAAATAAACCAACCTGTCCCCACACACTCATGTATATAATAGTCTTTTTTACACTGGCATTTCCGTATAATAAAATATTGTGCTCACAATAACTAAAAACATGCTTGTTTTTGTGTAAAACCACGTAAATACAGATTCCATGAGCTATTCATTCAGTTGCACAAAACAAGGGAAATGCTCTGAGTGCAGCCTATTACAAAAGTAAACATGCAACCTTCTTAAGAATTAAACATAATATTTGACTAGAATACATATATTGCATTACTCAAAATAATTGCCTTGGCCCCAGTATCACTCCCACTACCAGCAGAGACTTAAGTGCACATATTTCTCTACAGCATTGCTCTATGTAGTACTTTTGTGACTTCCCTACCTAAGAGGCCTAAATCCCGTCTTTGTGGCACCAGTCACTCAGCAAGTTTTATGCCCTGGCATTGAAGATGGCTCTCAGGACAGCTTTGTATACTCTTTTTGAACCATAAGCAATGCCTTCAACAATTGTTACCCCACCAATTTTGAACTGGTGACTTTTACACATCTGTTTTGCCAACCCACAGTCAGGTATCATCGGCTTCTCCCAACGTCATAGATCTGCACCTCTTCGCAAGAACCAGTAGACTCCGGTTGGTAAACATCTTTTTCAGCTATTAATAAGGAAATCAGTGAGAGTTTCATGGAAAGAGCAACCAACCAGAATTCTACTTACCATTAAATTTCCCTTCTGTAGTACCCTTTTTTAAGGCCCTGTTGAACACTGTGAACCCACCCTTCTTCCCAAAATCCTCTTCTCCGGTGCTCAAAGAAGAGCAGGTAAGTGCAATTAACTGATTTGCATAATATTAAATATACCTGGCAGCAAAGTAAGAACTGCTTATCTGAAATAACTTTAGATACAAGAATTCTTTAAATTAAAAATGATAGCTAAGAAGATCACTGCAAAACAGACAGGACTTTATATTTTCTTTCTGTTCATCATTATATTTTTTCAGACTTCATTTCACATTTTTTGCCCTCATCCTCCCCTCCCCCCCAAAAAAAACACAAGAAAGAAAAATGTAAACCTTATCTTCTGATCTTTCAAGCTTTACACTCAAGCAGTAAAAGAATGAGCTGCTGCTTTCCTTCAAAGGTATGCCTTTGCAATCCAAATTTAAAGTTGCACACCATGACAACACAGGATGGTGAATCAGGCCCTCAAACTGCGCTTGTCCTCTCCCTGAAATGCTGCAGGTTCCCTGCTTATCCTCAAAAACAAGCACGACTAGGACTAGCTACACACCACACATACTCATACCATTCCGCATGCTCCCAAATGAGATTGGCACAGAAAATGCCAGAAGACCAGAAGGCATCTTTTCCATATTTAGCTATGTATTGTTCAACACCAAGTTAGATTTCACCTCAGTGTATTATTCAGTTGATCAAGGGCGGGTATAGCAAGGAAGAGAGGCTGACATCAGCTACTTTTAAGCTTTCTCTTCCTCTTCTTCCCCACCCCCAGTTTCTATGACACCATTGCATTGTGCACTCATGTGTGCAAACAGATTTATCTATAAAGACCCGTTACATGGTAAAATTATTAAATAAAACTTTCACCCTTGTCCAGCTGTTTGAATAACTGCAGAGGCCAAGAACAGCAAGTCTCTAAATATATTTGCTTCTCCCTCAACCCCCACCTCTCTAATCACTTCAGAAGAAGATAGGAAGATTAGCACAGGGGAAAAAAATAACCAAAGCTGCAGATAACCCTCCAGGACCACAATGTCAGGCTACGTGATTTGGAGCAAAAGGTTAATGCACGTGTATTTTCAGGAATCTCAGACACAATTGTATTTTAAAGGAGAGGGAGGGGTTCTGAGAAGGTGGGTGAGAGAGAGAGAGAGAGAGAGAGAAGGAAATGGTGATGAAGAGAAAAATGAATTTGCCATCTAGAGCTGGCTCTTTGATCACCTGAAGTATCCAGGAAGACTGAATGCAGAAATAGGACAGTATTATTACTGTATTTTTTGGCAGAATATTTTCATTATCATCATCAGAAGAGATTTTAGTAAGAATACAGTTAAACAAGGGCTTATTGAGCTATGCAAAGAATAAAGATGGTATCCAATGAGTGACAGATGCTACACTCGGCAGTGAAAAATATTCAGAAAACATATAAATAAAGTCACTTTCACAAAAAGACAATGTCATCTTCATCCATGTCTGAACGGTTGCTATGGGGTTTGCAGAGAAGAGGGAAGGATGGGGGGATAATAATCAATCATCTCAGAAGAGCACTGTTTCTTTCAGAGAAAGATCTGGATTTTGACTGTGTCCCTAAGAAAATTGCGGACTGCAGAGCTGCTGCCACGCAGGGCAGTGAGGAAGCAGGCAGAGCAGAGGCAGCAGCTGGGGATGGAAACGCCTATTAAATCCTTTAGACAACAGATGGGCAAAGCTCAACTGGGTTTAGAAAAAAAAAAAAGAAAAAAACACAACACAATGCATCATGTTTTATTGTCCCACAATGAACAACACTTAACACCCACATGCCCAAAGAAGCCCCCTATAGCTGATCTGTCCCTCTCCTTAAATTATAATCTTGAATCTTAAACCACTTGGGAGTGAGGGGGGTCCCAAACCAACAAATTTGACAGATCCCACTGCTCATTACACCTGTTACTAGGAGAGGAAAAAAAAATAATCATCTTAAAAAGAAACTAAATAGGCAATACATTTAGGCTCCTTTATTTTCCTAACGCTTTTTCTTTTAATTAATGCTTCCCTGCCCTTGAAGTGAAGTCGCTATCCATACAAGCAACAGCAAGTCCATATCTTGAAATCATTTAACGGATCTAATTATGCCATGTAGAGGAGAAGCACCTGCTCTCTGCTAATTCACTGCACCGTTTCCCCTTTTTAATATTTCTTGCCATTATTCCATTCAGGAAAATCTGCTGGGGGCATGCTTCATAAACAAGCTTTAAGAAAAATAATTAAATAGCCTCCCCTCCCCCTCAATCCCTCCTACAAAAACAGAAAAAAGCCCTCTTCCCAGAATGAATTCTGTTACTGATCCTTTCTTTCTCCTATTACAGAACTACCCACAAAAAACATCATCTCATGCATCCTTTTTTTCTAAATACCCACAGTAGTCGGTGCCACAGCGATACTGTATATATTCCCCCCCACATCAACTGCACCTTAAGGACTACACCCTTTTCAATCATGATGTCATGAAATACTGCTGGTGACTCCCCCACTGCCACCACCACCTTCTCTGTACTGTGATCCTTTCATTTTAATGTAATTTAATTAAAAAGAAATGACTCTTAAGTAGGACAGTGAAAAAAAAAAATGATGTGAAATTCACCACCAGATCATCTATTTTTTTCCTCTGCATACAGCTTGGCTGTCATCAGAACACCACCCATTCGCAGGAGTAACGATCATAAAGCATTCTAGGCTTAAAAGGGGGAAAAAAAAAGAAATAAAGCAAGAATCTCTTAAGAATATTATCTCTACAGAAGCAGCAAACAGGAAAATCTAAATGTTAAAATATCCCATCCCCAACTGGCTGCTACAGCACCTTTCCCCTCCCATGGGTGCTGCTGCAAAAGAACCAACCTGTCTGTCCTTTTCCTAGGGTTTTCTCCAAACGATAGGGTCCAACATATTGTGCATGCTGAGCTCCGCTGCCTTCTTTCCCTGTTGATGTCATTTCTACCTGGATCTGTAAGTCTGCAATATATATGTGCCGAAGAGCTGGAATTTTTCTCTCTGCAGTTCTTTAAATTCCCACTTTGCAGCTAGGCAAGCAAAGCACACTCTCTCTCTTTGCTTTGGTCCCCTTGGTTGCAGATTTTTTTTTTCTTCGTCCTTTTTATTTTCTCTTGCACGCGTGTTTTCTTTCTGGGTCTGTCTGGGACGCTGATGGATGCAGTGGTTATTTTAATGTTCAAAGAGGGGATCTACGATCCAAGCCCAAGGAGCATGATGCTGGTGATGTGAGCTCCGCACGCCTTGTTCTCTCTAGGAGCTGTTCAAGGCAGAGCCAGAGCTAGAGGAGCGGAAGAGCTGGGGCTCGCAGCTGCGATTGACACTACAGGCAGCCAATCCCCAACAATACCTTATCTTCCACCTCCTTCTCCCCTCCTCCTCCCACTACCTTTTCTTTTCCATCAGCAGCAGTTACTGCTTCTGCCTGCTATACAGCATCATGATTAACGGCAATAGCATAACCTCAGTTTATTAGTCTATTGGTAAGGCAACAATTAAATATAATTAGAGAGTATGTTATTTTAAAACCTAAACATGGACATTTTCTTCTGAATCATCCCTAACTAGGCAGCTGCATTTCTACTGTGCTGAAGTAAAGCTGGGGTTGGGGCAGGAAATAGGAAGAAAATCTACTTTCTACTGAGAAATTATTTGATTTTATTTAATCCTAGAGGACCTGCATCTTTTGTGGGTTTGGGGTTTGAAGAGTGCTAGGGGATGGGAGATAGGAAAAGAGATGAAGAGACTTTCAAAAAACAAGGCCCAATCATGTAATCGCTTAGCTTGATGACAGACCTACATTTGAATTTGATAGGAGCTTTAGACTTCAGATGCACAGATCAAAAATGGCATCCCACTATCTTAATTAGAATCACAGCAGAAAATCCAGGGATTAGATGGGAATGGGAACAAATCTGCCTTCACACCTTCATTGGCTCCATACTAACAGTGCAATATCTGATTTTTATTTTAAATTTGTTATTTACTTTTATTCATTACTTACTGCAAGAAAGTAAAGGTGTCTCCAACCTTGAAAGCTATAGGAACTCAGTGAAATAAAAGGTTCCCTATACATGCTTTAAGTTAGGCATGTCTGTGTACTTTCTGAATTCACAACCAAATTCATGAATTCATATCAAAAGTTTCAGACTCCAGAACAATCAAGCTTGAACTAATACTGCACACAAGTTTCTGTCTGTCTGTTTTGGATTGTGTTTTTGTTTTTTAAATACCTTCTCCCTCCTCTCCAGACAGAATCCTGGTCAAGATGTCCTTATTAAATTGTAATTGAGACATAACCCAGCAAGGCTTCTTCAGTCAGAGCAGCCTTAGGAGGTCTATAAAAGAAATGGAGAATAAAGAAATCAAAACTTCAATTACTTTTATCTGTTATTTGCAAAGAGCCAAAACTGAATTGTTTTTTAATTGATACTTCTGTCTGTACAGAAGCCTAAATTGGAATAATTCTACAAATTGGCTCTATACCTGTAACACAGGCAACAGAACAACTCTGTCCCATGAGTTGTAGAGGAAATGAGGAGCCCAGAGGAAACCAGGCCAGAGGACTGAAACTTTAAAACAATTCCAATGTAGCTAAGGCAGCAGCAAACAAAACCCTAAGACCTGCTTTGACCTTTCTCTGCTTCACTGCGGGGTTCATCTTCAGCCTATTTCTACACTGTGTTGTTGTTGCAACCTGCAGACTCCCAGAGCTGCACACCCTAAATTGCCTTACATTTCTCTGCCACCTCCTTCAGACCTCATCCAGAGGAGGGGGCAAACAAGATCAGGGCTTCAGATAATTAATCCCTACCAAGAACTCACACTCTGTACAGAAGACTGGCCTACCTTTTGGGCCATGGCCATGTCTGCTCCCTTAAACTCCTCCACAGTGTCACATCCTCAAAACTTCCCAGCACTAGACGCTCACTCACCACTGCTCATCCCTCTCCAACTGCCCTTTATTGCGCAGCCCTTGGCTGGTTTTATCTGTGCCGCCCCTTAAGAGCCCCCACGCGACTCCTCCCACCGCCTCACACACCTGGGCCCTCAGCCCCCACCACCATGAAGTGGTAGAAAGGGAAAGCAGCTGGGGAAAGGGACGCCAATCACGGCAGCTCGTCCCCTGTGATATGGCCACCTCCCCTCCGCCCTCTACCCCACGGTGGAAGCTGCGACGCCACCGGAGCTGAGGAGAGAGGAGGCAGCGGTCCCTGCTGGCCGCCACTGCCATGGCGCCGGGGGCGCCCCGCTCTTCCCGCCTAAAGTCGCGACGAGAGGGTGAGCAGAGGGGCGGGGCGCGCGCGTGTAACGGCCGTTGCCTCAGCGCTTGGCTGCGCGCGCGCGTGTAACGGCCGTTGCCTCAGCG